GTGAGAATTGAAAATTTTCCAGTTCAATGTTATTTCCTTTAGACTTCAGCATTTTCAAATATTTTTATTCAACTTTCTTTTGATGAGAAGACATCAGTAAATTAAGAATATTATATTGCCATATTAACATTTTTCTATGAACTTTTTTTGGTATTTCCAATTAATTTTCATTAAAATTTGTCCTGAATCTGTGCTGAATCACTTCACTCAGCATTCAGCAATATCATAATCTCTGCCTGCTCTATAAGATTCCCAATTATACATTTCTTTAAAAGTCCATCAGCTCCTTACTTAATAAAGGACTTTATACATTTTGACACAGTAATGAGAAAAAAAAAAAACCAAAATAAGTCACCACTTAAGTTTGATTTTAAGAGATTAAAATCTGCTTGAGGATATTTGGTGATTCAAGCCAACTACCTATGTTAAAACAACAACCACAGGTGATGGACAGGAAAAGGAAGAAAATTAGATGTTCTAGCAGTCAGCTTTTTTACTATTTCTCACCCAGCTCACAGATAGAAAAATAACACTACAGTTCATAATATTCTAAAAATTAAGTAACCAGATATAATGGTACTAACAAACATTTTAAAGATCAATCCATCTGGACTCTGCTATCATAGATGCTAATACTGGATCTGTTCATGCATGCTTCTAACAAACGTGACCCAGATCAGGCCTGGACAGAAATTAGGAAGAGAATATGATGCGGGGTTTACACTGGCTGCTATTTGGGCTTCATAGCATTTGCAGTAGAACAAAACGTGGCTGATCTGTGAGAAAAAAGCAGCTGTTAATATCCTGCAAGTAGAGGTAAGAGCCCTGTCTCCAGACCACTGGGAAAACAGAAGAAAACCTGACCTGGAAAAGAGTTCTGAAAATGTCAGCTAATTACACTCTAGTTTCAACACGGTCTTCTTCCAGGTCAACGGTCTGCTTTTTTAATGCCATGCAATACCTGGGAAAAAACTCACTGCACCATGTGAAAACAAAGTTTTGGGGTTTAGCACCTTCCCTTCCATATACATATATATATATATATAATATGTGTATATATATATATATATATGTGTGTGTGTGTGTGTGTGTGTGTATATATATATATATATAAATTATGGAGGTGTTTAAAAAGGATTTTCAGCTTTGGGGAACAGAATAGATCAGAATCAATTCAGAAGGATACATTTTCTCATAGAAAGGAGAAACTCTAGTAATTTAAGTTATCCAAAAGGCCAGATTAAATAATAAGAAGCAAACTGATGCCAGTTTACTTACAATTTACTGCCAGTTCAGTTACTGAATTCCTTAGCGACTAATACTGCATTTGCCCTCTAATGGCACTTCAGTTTGAATTATCAAAGTACAAGAGTAGACTAGAAAACGGGCTCACGTTAGATTTTGGCAAGGAGCTCTGGCTGACAGCTCTGCAAACTGCTATATGTGTGCCAAGTAGTGATACTGCCTTTTGGTTCTCTGGTTCGTTTTTATTATTCAAGCTGGTGGTTCCACCTCTAAACTTTAGAAACTATTTCCTACCTCATAACCACAGTACTAAAAATGTTATGAAGTGACCTTAAGATGTGTAGCTGCCTTACCCAGGATTGGGAAGCATATTTGGAAGGCGGATGCTGTTTTCTGCTTTTGGACACCGAGATCTGGCCATTTGATTCACTGGAATTTTCTATCTGTTGAGTAAGTTACTTGGTAAACAACAACTGGCAAAACCTTGGACGTTAAACTGCAGATGTTGTATGCAGATACTATTCCCCTATATTTTTCTTCCAAAACCGCAAGTGTATGTGAAATACATCAGTTAAATTCATACAGACAATAAAAGGGGCACAGTGAAAAGACTGGATGCTTGTCGATATGTTAACTATTACTGAGCAGATTACTCTTCTCTTTAACTTTTCTCAACCATGTTGGGAGTGTTAACTTACTTAAGGTGTTAGTCCTAACCTGCAAAACCATAAAGGACGGGGGCTGGGGGTATTCTGTGGGGTAGCTCAGCAGCCGAAACTAGATGGTGAAGAGCACTAACAGCAGAAAGTCCTTGAAGAAACATGAGCAACAGCTTGTAAAAGCTAACCTCCAGATACTGTAATTTGTTTCCCCACTCTTCTTGAGAGAAAGACCTGGCAGCAATAATAGTATATCCGCTCATTTATGGTAAAAAAAAAAGAAGCATAACGTATACACAAAAGTACTATTATTACCATTCACCAGAAGATCTTCATAGAACTTATCACTAATCTGTATTCAAGATTTTTCTGAAAGAAGCCTGAACTAGTTTCTTCTTCTGAAGCCTTTGGTAATGCCCCATGTATTTACCAACTTAAAAAAGTTTTCCTCAATTGATTTTTCTTTTGGCCTGTGGCTTACAATTCTCATTTGCATATCCCCAAAGCTCAGACTTTTCATGATAATTCAAAAAACTCTCGTTAAGCATCCTGAAAGCATCAATTTAAGCTTTTAAGCTTTTCTTCAAACAAAAGGAATTACAGTTTGCATTCTCCATGAATTAAGCATCTCTTGTGTCTAATCCAGCTAATTTTTACCTCTGCAGGAGGAATGGTAATTACTTTACAGGAATTCCTCTCAAAAGCAACTCAACTCCTAGGCACATGGCCCAACAGGCTAACCATTTTCAGCCTGCTGTGGAGCTGCCATCGTCAGCCTGAATATCACTGGTATTTTACTTTGCTGGACCTTAACTTTCTATTCTTTCTGGCTATTTTTTTGGCAGCAGAAAAGCACTTCTCATTTCAGCTTGGTTTCCCTTCTGGTGTTTCAAAAATTATTTGCAACTGAGCAAACTTGCTGACATGTAACTTATCTGGGTCTTTGAAGATTATTTTTCTAGGATTTGTGTTCATAAACTCTGCTTATTTTAGTTTGTCCTTTTGACACTAGTTGTACATGCTGCAGCTGACAGTTTTACCCTTGTACTCTGTCTCTGTGTATAAATGTCAGTAATTTCTAATTACAGAAGTGTATGAGCCTAGGGCTGAATTTCTGTAATGTAGCTGGCAAAAAGAAACTGGAATGAACTCGCATTTAGTTATTCCCTGTGGCCCAGTCTGGGGAAACACTAGCATTAGCAAACAGTAACACAATCCTGACAAGATTTAAGTTCAGATGAGTTCAATTTTGTGCCATAATAAATTGAGCAGTGAATAATTTTTCTTAAGTCATCCCTGACACTTTAACACAGACAAGTCTTTGTATGAGATGCTTGAAGATGGTTTCAAATATTTGCTATCCATCACCGGGGAGCATTTGATCTACACATACAAAATCCAGTTGTGAATGCTGTCAGCAAAGTGAGATTTTCCTCCCTCAAACGTAAGGGCAAGTTTCTCAGTAGCTGAAGAGGTAGTTTCCTTCGGCATGGCTTTCAAAAGATTTTGTCCCATCAGCAGCGTAAAGGTGCTGTGCCTGCTGTCCCTTACTGCCCGCTATCTTAACCAGTGACTTTTCAATTGGACCTGATGGTCGGTCCGGCAGTTAACTGAATATCTCGCAAAGGACAGCTGCTGGGTCCTACCACAGCTTTGCCAAGAAGCATCACCTGAACCTGCCCATCTTCCCCTTTAAACACAGCATATTCTGTAGCCAGAGAAACAGGTTTTGTTATAGGGCTAGCTTAAGGATCAGTGTCTGAGTTCGTGTAAGTTTGATCTCAGGCACATTCCTCATCTAGTATTAAAATGTGTGTCATTTGAAAATTATGAGCACAGTGCGTGTTTTGTAAATCTAGTTTACTTGGTTTCCATATCAGACAAGCATCCAAAAATCCTTCAGCAGAAATGTGCTCTGAAGAGTCAGCAGCTTCATGTGACCTAAGAAACATGGACAATATGGCTTCTTGCCTGCTGACAAAGCCGTATTGCAGTGCGTATCCCATCTTATTAGACTGAATAACCAAGCAATACGGTCCAATCCCCTGCTGTTGAAACTTCTCTGCTTGTGCACAGTTGCCAGCTTTATTTTTTTAAGCACATATTAAGCAGCACTTGACCTGGAAAAGCTGCTACAGAAAAACAATAACTATTTTGGCACTTCAGGCAGCAGTGACAGATGGATTAGTCAAAGACGGAAGATGGATGATACCAGGAAGAGTAAGAAAATGGAAAGAAACAGAAGGAAAATATTGGTGCAACCCTTTTCTATCAATAGCAGATGTGCACATGTGCTTCATGTCATAATTTGCCATGAATTCAACATTTACAGGACATTATTGTAAAATTGGTTCTTTTAACAGCTTATTCAGGAAACGCACAAGTTTTCTTTTGGAGAACTGGTATACTGTGATGGATTCCCATTTGCTAAAAAAACCCCAATATTGTTTATTTCTGCTATGGGCTTAAAAGCATGCATCACATTCTGCAATTTGAAAAACTTGGTCAGTTAAGATCATGAAGAAAAACCAAACAATAGATAAGTCAAAAGCGGGGCGGGGGGGGAAGTGTAATTGCATGTACAGTAATAGCACGTTATTTCGTGCTATTTGTACAAATCTCCTGTATTTGGTGTCACAAAGCATCTGGCAACACAAACTTCATAAGGTGTCACTTAGGACACATGTCTTACTCCATACACTCTTTTGGATTCCATCTCAAGATCAGTCACAGCAGCTACTAGCATTTGTACTTTGCCTTTTGTTTTTCTTTTTTTGTATGTGTGTGGCATGTTTGATTTCAGAGATGTCCTGGAAAAGGACCACTCATTCAGTTACTCAAACATGCTTTGGAAGATCCCTACAACTACCTGTAATGTTCACCCAACCTATTAGGAAAAAAGCAGAATTAACTCTGGAAAATACTTAAAATGGGGAATCTCTTTAAATAGTATGATTCTGAAAGTCTACAAAGGAATAGTCAGAGTAGTACAGCTTCAAAGAAAGACAATCAGAAGGTTACTGCACCAAGTTACTCATTCACTCTCAAATAAACATAGAACTAAAAAAAAAAAAATAGAAAGAGAATTCAACTTACTGCTTCACCGGTTTTTCCAAGGTTTCCTTGGTCTCCTTGTTCTCCCTGTTAAATGTAAAAAACAGATGATGCATCTCATTAGAAAACTAATTTCTTTCATACGTGTGTATTGAAGTCCTCTATTTTCTTAAGAGTCTCTTTATTTTCTATATTACATCCGCCAATTAAAATTTTAAAAGCTTAAATTAAGCAACTACCAAAATTTTAATTTTGTCAGTGGCTAATTCTGATTTTATAGAAAAAAATCCTGATGCATTTAGGACTTGCTCAAAAAATGAAAACTGTGTATTAAGGGCTTACTAAACACATTAAGTCAGCAAACACTATAAACAAATAGGGTTTTTTTCATTTTAATCTTCCTTTCAGTGAATTACCATTATTATTTCACAACTGTTTCAAAAGTAAGTGCTACCTACGCACACTATTCATAACTTTAATTTTCTTAGGAAATGCTGGGAAAATTGACATATGAATGACATTTTAACAAACTTCTCCCTCTCCCAAAAGCTTGGAACTGACATGAATTAGTTTAATTAATTAGTTTAGTGAATTAGTTTAATTAATTAGTAATTAGTTTAACTAATTACGTTCTCATAAATAATGCTGCAAGACACATTACATAACCCTGGAACACCTTCCTATCTATTATACGAGTGGAAGCTGGGTGTATGCACACTAATAACTATTTGACTATGACGATAATCTCAGTGCCCTGATGAACAGGGTGCCCAAATCAGGATAGTTCACTCAATTTGCAACTCAGCACTGAGATATTCAGCTGTCACAAGCTCGTCTTTCAAATGCAGCACTTCTCATCTGCCTTCACACCCCTGAGATTCTGCCAGCGCAAGAACTGCCCCGGGTCCCTTGTTGCCCCAGTCCCAGCCAGCCTCACAGCCCCAGGCAGCCAGATCTCATTTGAGCAGGTGCTGTCTTGGCTTCCACATCCTTATCTCCTAGAGCTGCATAATTTATTTCTTTCTGAAAATGAGATATTGCAAGAAAACAGAATCACTAGTAAGAGATACATTTTATATTATATGAAAGCACGTGTACTCATATCCTTTCACTGGCATGCCACTGTGTATAGCAGTGTATAACTGTACAGAGTTGATACTCCAAACACTTCATTTCACACATAAAACTATCACTTACCTTTAAACCTTCTAGTCCAGGATCACCTATATAACCTTTTTGTCCTGGCTTTCCCTAAAATAATGATTAGAGTAAAAAAATAACAAAAAAGTAAATATTTTAATTTAAATATATAATTTCATCCCAATTCCTGTATTTATACAGATATGAGAACTCAAAAATCTACATTTTCATATTTAATACCAACATTTGAAACAAGTGTAATTATAAATCTACATCTGAAATTATACTGTTATTACAGCATATTCTAGTATAGTAAGCAGAATCTCCATTAACTCTCACAGCAGTTAACACTGGTGAAAACCAGTCACAATCCAAGAATCACACATATTAATATGTTTTTTGAAGTGAAACTGAAATAAGACAAAGAAAAGGCAAGGTCATGTTCTCTGCTGGCTAATTCGAGCAGAATAGGAACTCACACTAAAAGAATTTGATGTTTAGACTTCGGCGACTGGTGTCATAACTTGTCCTTCCACAACCAGACAAAATCAGTTCAAATATCCTCTCCTCTTTGTTCATAAAATTGATTGTTTTAAGCCACCAGCATTTTACTGCTGATAGAGCTTGATGCTATGATACTCTCTTAATAACACATTGTTACCTTGAAGAAATACACCAACATCTTTCAGAGCAGGAGGCCATGAAGTGGCGAGATCTTTGAAGCGTTTTAGAGCACACATCCTTCCCTCTGCTGTCACTCACACAGACCCACAAAGGCATACAAACCGGAATGTTTTCCTCCTGAATTTTCAATTGGATGTTCTTAATTAAGCTTCACTTTTAGGAAGTTGTTTTCCCTCCAGTTATAATCTATTTCCTCTACAACATAAAAGATGGTTATCTGAGCAGTATAGCCGTGCCTAGACAAACTTCCGGCATCTACTCTGAGGCAAAGACCAACAGTAAAGGTCCAATGGACTGGATCTGGCTCTCGAGCAAGTTGCTAATGAGCTTGCTGGAGCCTGACAACTGAAGAAAGAAAATTAATTCAGCATTTTAACGATTCAGTACCAAAAAGATGCTGATTTCTAATAAAAGCTAATTATCAGCTATTGTTCCAACAGACTGAATAACTGCAATTACAGGACTCTGTAATGAGAACTCTCCTTTCCACATTGGTTGTCCTGAGACAAGAGCAACGAAAGAAACAGATAACAATCAGGTTTCCTCAAAAAAATATGTGATTTTCTTCCATTTGGCTCTTTTACTCTGGCTGCTCTGTGCCTGTCTTTCAGAGCATAATGTGTGTATTAGTTTCTGGGCATCTGAGAAATTCTCTATGCAGCTTGAAATTATATTGCCTAATTAGTAGGTTCCATGACTTCTCATATTAATCCCTTGTTATCTCTCGCTCTTTCTGCCTGCTTGAGTGATTTCATTTTGCCCTACAAGCTTCAACAAATATCACTGCTTTAGAAATAGATTTTTGGTTTTGCCAATGGATTATAACATGGCACAGCCAGGAATGCAGGGCAAAAAGACCATTAAGAGAAGTTCCGAAAGACCCAGATAAAGCAAACCACGTTTTACTACAAGGCTTAGCAAAGAACAGTTGATGGGCCTCTGCAGGTTACTACCTGCCATTTAACTACTTGGCTGCAAAGAATTTTAAGGTCTTTCTAGAAAACAAGACTGTAACATAAAAATGTTTTAAATGAAATTAATTGAAAGAAAACTAGTGGCCACTACTAACTACCTCGATAATTTTAGTTCTTAGAACTGATTTGGAGTTAAAACTCGTGAAGGTTTCTTGGCAGCATTACCCCAGCTATGCACTCGCTGCGAAGGACACACAACAGGTGTACGTTAATCGGAAAAACGGAACAAGTGGATTTAACTGGTAAAGCAATTTGAAACATACAGATTTGGCTTTAAACAAAAATGCAATACAACTGTAAATTACACATGGAGGAAAAGCCACTGACAGAAGGTTAAACTCGGGATGGCTGCTTTTCTGCCTGCAAACCCCTGAGAAAATTACTCTTCCAGGGCAGGGTAATCCCAAAGGAAATGTCAATTTCCTAAAATAGCAGCTCTAAGTTCTACCCTTCCCTTTCAGGAAACAGCAACCATCTGTGCTTCCTTTCACCTCATGAAAGATTGAAACAGGTGTGGATATTTTAATATAAATATTCCCATCCCTCCACAAGCTCCTCATATGCATTCAGCCCACAGGAAGATATGTGCCTCCTTCAGAAAATTCTGCACTGGGGGAGTGGAGCAGCTTTGAGGGCACTTTGCTCCATCTTCAGGAGGAACTGCCCACCTTATGATGATAAAAATATCAGCTTCTATTTTACACGTGCATCTCTGAAAGGAATCAACTCACAACAATTCCTTTTTACATTCTGGTTTAAAAAAATCTCCCCCCTTTTAAAGGATAATATTTTAAAGGATAATATTTGGATAGCCTTTGAGAAAGAGTTAATTTGGAGGAAAAATAATAAATGTAGCCACTTCTTTAATGTGGCATCTACTGTATTTCCACAGCAAAAAAAATAAGCAAATACTCAAAATAGTAATTTCTTTAATTTAGAAGGATCAATTTAAGAGAATATAATTACTTGACTTCAGAATAGAATGAGCAGGAAGCTTGGAACAGAATGAATGAAAAATCAAATCGTGTCATCAGATTCAGCTCAAAATCGTCTTCCTGAATTCAGAGAGGCTGAGCTCTGTGGAACCTGAGATATTTCCTTAGTAAGCAGGGAAGCACCCCCAGTTTTCGCTGCAGTTGTTTTAGACACATGGGAATTCTTTTCCAAACTGTGACCTGAGAACCAGACTGCAGGTTCATATCCACCTACTGTTCCAGTAGAGGATGATCTATTTTTGCTGGCAGAATTGCTCAGGTAGGTCCCAGGTTTTCTGATCTCATGCACTTTTTTTAAAGCAAGCATTAGAAACAAGGGTAGGGGCTGGGGGGAAGGTGGGGTGTAGAAAAATTAGGTGAAAATTCATGGCTGCCCGCTTCATGCATGCCTAAACCTGAACTAGGGGCTGAATACTTTGACCTGAAAACTAGACAGTAGAAGAGATGTCGAATTCCAGAAGCATTAGAAACCCGCTCCATTGCTGACAAAGAAAAACTAGAACAGTTTCATAAGAATAATCAAAGGTTTACAATACATCACCTACAAGGATGCTTTACCTAGCTTAGACAGGCCCTAAGAAAGTCAGAATAACAGTGGCTGAAAAGAGGACTAACCTATTAATCATGTCCAAGAAAAAAAGGTTCATAGGACAGGAAGCAAGGTTGTAGCACGAAAGACACAGACAAGACTTTCTGATAGAACGGCTAGACGTTAGAAAAACTGTCCATAAAACAGGCAAAGGACTGAAGCACATTGCCAAGGAGCATGAAGAATCCCCAGCCCTGGAGGCTGCAAAAAACAAGTTAGAGGCACATCTGTCAGCTAAAGACACAGCTGTCAGCTGATGGTGCCTTGGGGCCATGCACAGCCAGACCACTTCTTCAGGTCCTTCACAGAGACCTCCCCTCCCCTATGGCTGTTTAATTAGTACAGTGACAACACAGTTTTGACAACATTTACTTTATGTAGTATATACTTTTTTTTCAACTCCTTTCATGGAAAATGCCTGTGTAAATCAAATGAATGTGAAATTGCAATCAAGCAAGCATAATTTAAAGAGACAGATGCATTCAGCAGCTTACTGACTCAGTCCTGCTAAACTACACCAGATTTAACAACTTCATGATTGGGACTCTCTCTCTATGATATAATCACATAATCTATGTTACAAGCAGGAGTGAAGAAGCAAGGACAGGCAGAGATGGGAGCGGAGTTCAAAGCAGCAGTGCAAACAACTTGGCCTGGAGCTGTAAATCAGCTGGCGACAACAGAAGCCACAGATTCCAGGCGAAAGAAAATGGGCCCTAGGATGAGGGGGAAAAATAAACAGGGCTCCCCATCAACCCCCAAGTAAAACTTCCATTTCCCCTACCTCTCATTTCAGGAGGGCATATTAGCCAGCAAGCTACTAAAAAGTGCTTGGAGACAGCAATGCTGGGGTTCACCTCAGATCCACACATCCATCTCTCAACAGCTTATTGGAGAGAGGAAAACCAGGGAGCCTTAAGATAATGCCAATGATGTGCACACTTCCCATTGAGAACCAAAATAATTTAGGTCAAATTGACCCAAACAGATTAAATACATTTCAGTTTGCGAGGTTACACATAAAGTTTGGGTCACTTTGACACCAGATGCTGGCAGCCTCTGCTTGCCTGGTGATGCAGAGAATGTGAAGGTCGGTGTCTCATTGCCCATGAGTCACCCAGTGCAGCGTCGTCTTTTCCAATTGTCACAGCACAGTATAGCAGATGCTCTCCAGCCATGAAGCCCTACCCAAGGAGAAGACTCAAAGTATGATGCAGCTAAAATAACACTTTCCATGAGGCTCTTGGCAGAAGCTCAATTAGATTAAACTGAATATTGATCTGAGTTACAAAGGGTTTTGAAATTCTGTTCAATTTTTTGCATCTTTTCCTCAGCTCAAAAAAAAACACCCAACAAAGAGGGTTTTTTGATTGTTTGTGGGGTTTTTGGTTTGTTTTATTTTTTAACCACGTAATCCATGTGGTAAACAAGTGTTTTAATATTACTTCTAACAGAAAACAAATTCCCAGCTTTGACTAACTAATGAACAGGAAAAATGACACAGGACTATATATATCCACTCTAGAACTGAGGAACAATGGTACAGACTTCCCTAACTCGTGCATGAAATGGGGTATCATCCAAAGTAAAGACCAAGCCAGTGATTACAACACACAAGCAAATCAAGCAAAGACAGAAGATCCTACTGCTTTCAATAAACTTAGCAGCACTCCCATAGTCCCTAGTGCAGGCTAGTAGCCATTTCTAGCTTAGAATTTTTCTAAAAATTAGTTTGAAGTCCACTAAAATACTTAGACACTATTAAATTTTTTTAACTAAACTGGTTGTTGGTTTAGAACTTTGATGTTTTAAAACATGGCACCACAAACAGTATTGTAACATGCCACCTTTACTGTTTTCAGCAACTGTCTACCAGATTAATTTGAAAATGCATTCTTAAAGTATCAGTCCTTTGTATTTCTCCTTACGGGGTGAGTCTCATGGTGTGTTTCATGGTGAGTTAATCCCTGGTTTAAATATTTTGATACATCATCTGGTTCAGTCCCTAGGAAGTGCATAGTGGTTTCATCTGTCTCAAGAGCACCATAAGCAGATTTTTATTGACTCTTTCATTTTCAAAAATTTTATTTTGTGCACTGTGGCTGTGATTTCCTTTCCAAGTCTTCATATGTGTCATGGGTTTCTGTATGGTGAGGTTTTCTGGTAGTGGGGGGTGAGTTGTAAGGGTGGCTCCTTGCAAAATTTCCAGAGCCTCCCCCAGCCCAGGTAAAAGTCAGACCCACCTCTGGCCAAGGCCAGGCCAATCAGCATCTCTATGATCACTTATTTAAGAAAGGAATCCTGTTGGGCCAGGCTCTTCATCTCCTTTTCTCTGTGTCCTTTGTGTCATGGAGGTGTTTGTTCTGGAGAGAAGGAGGAGGTGAAGAGGGAAAACCCTGCAATAGGTAAGGACAAAGAGGAGGAAGAAGAGCACGGGGGCAGAGATCTCCCTGAGCCTATGCTGAGATGGTGGCAGGATGATGAGAGGCTGAGAACTGAGGAGACCGACCACAGTGAAACATCCAGGATGTGACAGCACGTGGAGGACTCCATGCCAGGGGAGAGAGAGAGCATGCAGGAACAGAGAACACACCTGAGGTGAACCACGACTTGGAGAAGGACCCAAGCTGGAGCACAGGGCGCTACAGCCCATGGGTGGGTCCCATGCTGGTGGGAAGGACTCACGTGGAGAAGGAGAATTGTCTCCCATGAGATGGGCACCACATGGCGTCAGAGGAAGACTAAGAGGAGTCCCAAGGAGGAAGAATTGCCATGGACAATGAGTAACGAACAGAATGCACCCTCCACCTCCTGTGCTGATGGCTGGGAGGAGGTAGTCAGGAAGGGAAGGGGGTGGGGGGAAGGGTATTTAAGATCTGGTTGTATCATTTATTTCTCTCACTACCCTATTCTGATCTAGCTGATAACTGGTGGTGTAAGTTAAATTTTTAATTTTCTCCCCAAGTCTATTCTGGTTTTTGCCCATGACTATAAACCCTCCCTGTCCTAATCTCAATCCTTGAGCTTTTTGTTGAATTTTCTCCCTCCCTATCCCTAAAGGGTTCCCATAAAAGGATGGGGTTGGGGGTGAGCAAGTGATTGTGTAGCTCTTGTTCCCAGCAGGGTGGGCTCAAACTATGACAATATAGAAAAACATTTATCATCCCAGCTCTGCTTTGAACATATACAGAGAAAAGAGACACATTTACTCAGGAGATGCCATTTTAACACAGTCACTTCTCGCAGTAAATTTACCTTTTAAAGGAGTACTTCTGCTGAAAAATAGTCTATTCTAACAAAATTATTTATACTTACTCTTGGGCCCACTGCTCCAATAGGTCCAGGTGGTCCTACTTCTCCCTAAAAGAAATCAAGACTTCAGTAATCTTGATACCAAGTTTAACTTGAAAAAAAGAGGAAAATACGTAGATAACAGTTTGTATTTATTATATCATCTTAAAATTTGCTTCATATGTGTTTGTATGAGCCCAAGTCTGATAGGAACAGTATAAGAGAGACTAACCTGATTTCATACAAAGTCATTAGCCAGAAAGCCATGCCCTATATAGCCACCAGATGCAGCCAAAAAAGCTGTACAATTGCTGGTATACCTACCATTATAGCAATATTTTCACAGTTTTGAGCAGGGAGAGACTCAGCAACGATGGGTCAACCTTTGTGTCTGCCCTACAGTTACTCTCTTCTAGCAACATTTGATACTTCATGACTATAAATTCAGTAGGAACGTTCCTGCTTTTCTCTTCTGTGTTGCTATGGCACTGCCACTGAGTTAACCAAGTCATTCTGCCTTTTCTCAAGGACGGAGGGAGGCTGGGGGCCAGGCTTGTCAGGTGTGTAAGAGAAGAAATGAGGCTCCGTGCCTGTGCTGCACAGTGTGCTGATATAATTACGCAAGATGGGAAACTGCAGTGTTAACTCTTCAGGGTTCACTCATTACACAGTTATATTAAAGCAGGGATTTGTATCAATGCCGTGCCAGGATGTCATGCTGTGATCATTTTACGGTTCACTAATTCTCCTCAATATGGAAGATTTCCTCCAGGTTTTGAAGGAAGTGGTACACAACCTTTTCAATTACAAGTGATAAGAAACACAGAAATTAACCAATCCTATCTGCAGCTTCCTGCCTTTTAAATAAATAAATATTTTTTCCACTGTTAGTTTTTACTCAGTATCTGATATGGAAGCTCACAATTAAGCTACTTAGAAGTCTGGAGGTCTACCCTGGAATCACTGACTAAATTGCTTCCAGTGTTAATTACTTTTAACCTAAGAGATGAGAGTTTTTTCTTTTATTTTTATGATGACAAATTAAGAATACTCAATACACTCATAAGATGAAGAGCCACCTTCGTCCCCCTTCAGTTAACAGGGGTCTAGCTGTTTACTTAAACATATCTAGGACAGTATAATCAAATCAATATATGGTTTCTATCTCCATACCACACCTCCATCTCTCAAGTTTAACTGAAAGAATCACATCTGACTCAACGCATATTATCTGAGATTCCACTAAATAACTAAAACCACAAAATGGATGCACAGCCCCATAAGGCTGCTAAAACCTCTTTGCAACACCTGCCAAAATGCAAAAGAAACTTGAAATTTTGCAAGACATCACCATAAACACATAACCATTGTTGTCTAAACCTCTTACCCCTCACAATATTTTCTTTTAAACATAATCTCTTGATTGGATAATTTTTACATCTTACCTCAACTCCTTTGGGGCCTTGTGGCCCTGGAGGCCCTCGGTCACCCAGAAGTCCCTAAACATCCAAACAAACACAGTAAGAACTCACATCAACTAACAATCAGGTTGGTCTAGTTTCTCTCTTTTTACAAACCTGGGCAGAAATGCAAAACTGCGGGAGCAAACATCATTTCTGACCATTGTTCTTAGGGGAAGATGCAGCAGAGTTTTTATACCTGCTGGGAAACAGTATCTTACAAGCTTCTAACACATATATTTTTTCAAAGCTTTTTTCTTTTTGGAAAATGAAATAAGAAAATACTGGAGTTCACAAAAGAATAATTCCTCGTTTGTGAAGACATACAGCACACGATCGTATGAAGATTAAAGCAGAACGAATGAAACTCTGAGATCTTTACTTCAGGTAATCTGTAGCATAACATACGAAGACAACATTGCAATGGAAAGGAACAAAGTTAATTTAAACTATCAGCTTGCCCCAAACAAGTTTTTCTTTTCAGTCCTGATTTTTCTGTCAGGATTATAATCAGCTTCCCAGAGATAAAGCACCTTACCCTCTGCCAACTCTGCTCACACCAACATTTCCAAAACTTTGTTAAAATGATTTCACAGCTAGTAGTGTGTCAAAAATCTCGGTCATCCCAATTACAGTGGTAGTAATTGGGGAAAGCACTTGACTTGGCGTTGGAAAAAAAACCCAACAAAATCTGCGTAAACATATTATTAATGTTCTAGGAAAGCTGAGCTTTACAATATCAGATAAAGTAACAAGAACAAAGAAAACTGCCCTTTAGGAGAGATATGATTAGCCTCTGAAGAAAGCAACAGTGGGAAAGTTCCAAGTATAAGCCTTATTAATTGCTTACTAATGAAGCTGAAGTCTAGACAGAAGGTGCAGGCACTGGTCCAGTAACAGTTTACTTAGCACACAAAGTAAAATGGAACAGAAAACAGAACAGGCCACCTCAAGGTGTGGAGTTTCACCAAAGAGCCCACTAGTCTGGGAAAGACGGGTGGACTGCCATTCGACACACCACCACAAAAGTGACAGGACTGCTTTGAGTAGCACTACGTAAGTAATATGGTTGTGCAGTTAGTAAAAAAGTTTTAAAAAAAATTGACAGAACTGTTGTTTTATTCTAATAGCAAAGCACATTGGGAGATACAGCTTTGAGTACAATGCAATCATACAGGGGAAATGTTAGCAACGCCGCTACTGTGCACACCCTTCTACTGCACTTAATTGGGTCTGGAACAAAGTCCCAGGCTGCAAAATGAAGTTTCCATCTCCCCTTTGAGGTTTCAGGCAACAAAGAGAAAACGAAGATAGACATTAGATATGTGCCAAAGCGTCTGGAAAAGAAAGGGGGAGTCAGCAAGCGAGGGTATCCAGTATTTCACATGCATAACTTGCCAGCTGACCATCCCTCCCTGAAGCAGTGAAACTTCTAATATCCACATCTATTAAATTTGTTATCCAAACAAACAAAAAGGAGCAGAGGAAAGAAGTTCTCAACTGCTTCCATGGTACAACACACTGCTGGAAAAACTACAGTTGTAGTCAGCATATTCTGACCATCTTTTCCTCTCACTTTTCTTGGTTACAGAGCATAAATACTTGCAAGAATAACATAGGAAAAAAAATTATTTAAGAACTTCTTAAAAATACTCTTATTCCCTTGGTTTAATTGTATGAGTGCTTTTTTTTTTTTTAATAAGTGGTGGATCAAGATCAAACACCTTCTAAAATATTGTTTCCCAGCTAAGTAATGTGCTGTAGACCAAATGACGTAATTAATCCTTTGAATATTATTTTAGGGAGGTCAGATTTGCTAATTACTGCACTAATTTACGGAAAATTGACAATCCAGAACTTTTACTAGTATTTAGAGATGCCTGATCACGCTCAGAGAGCTTAAACTTTCCACCAAGAAGCTGAATTTGTGCCGTGCCAACTGCTAAAAAATAAAGCTTACTTAGATTTCTTGACTTATTTTAAAATGGATATTGCTTCTGAGGAAGTATAAACAAAAACATGAGGAAAAGAGCAGCATAGTGAGAATAGATTTCTAAAAATAAAAGCTGGAGGAAACTTTTTAAAACTGTAGTCAACACAAGACAGCTGGGAATCCCAAAAGACAAACATTTCCAGCGTTATGCAGCCTTTCTCCCTTGGTACTAGGAGCAGTGCAACAATTTTTCCAGTTTGGTAATCTTCTCAAACGTAAGCCATCAATTCTCCCTGATTAGGCCAGACTGTCTAAGGTTTTTGTCTCAAAGACCAAATGTGCTAGAGACCACTGAATCCTGTTCAGCTATGTAACTTCTGTATCAAAGGAATACAGTCCTAAACTTCGCCAGCTACATTTTAGTAAATTCTTTGCTGGAATCTGTGAAAAGGCAATAGATCAATAATGTATGTATTAAACGTCAAGTCAGTTCTAACAAAAACATCTAATTTAACACTTTGGATATAATATTATCTCAGCGAATAAACTGGACGGCAGGGATTAGACCTCAGTTACATCATTCATGTATCAGCTTGGAAGATCAAATCTGATCTGCGGTTCAAAAAACTGTTCAATTTCTCTTCTCCCATTTCCCCTAGACCCCAGACACAGTCTTGCATCAAAGTGCATTAAGTGCCCCAGAGATTCAGAAACACAGGAGCAACTGCCACTACAGTGGCCAAATAAAACCCATTCATATACGGCTGCTAACATTATACATACATACAAACAAGTTAGCAAAGCAATCAGTTAGAACCAGATAAAAAGTCCACACTTATCTCAGAAATGTATTTTAACTTCTCCCCAGTTTGCCACATTAGATAATGTGTTCTGAGCCTTCCTAGTTAATTCATGTCTGAGCTATTTTGGGACAAGGCTCTTGACCCAGCTGAAAGATAAGAGATGCAGAAAAGATTAGCTATGGTTTTGGCAACTGGATTATTTGACATGTTCTCAAGAATGATTGATTTTGGCATGGAGGGATTGTTACAATCTTCCAGGTCCAAATAAGACTATAGCTCTAAACTATTTACTGCTCCCTGTCCTAGGCTTTACTGAGCAGTCTGCCACAGAATTCCACAACTCCACCGATAGGAGATCTTGTTGTTTCTATCTCTATTTATGGACAACTTGTGCATTTTGTCCTTGGGCTGATGATATCGGTGGTCTTGCACAGTTCTTTTGCCTCTCCCATTTCTGTCCTCTGGTTTACTTACAAAGTTGAAAAGGCCCTTCATTTTGGTAGGAGAAATGAGCTGCCTCTCAGAATACAATCATTCAAGGATCCTGTTCTGCATCTAGTCCCACCTGATTGAGTCCTTCTGGAATGCAAATGCCCATAGCTTACAAAAGCCCAGTGTGTACTACTTAGATAAAATCTTCTTGTGCTTTATGCAGTGGCATTAAGGAGACATCTTTTCTTGCATGTTCTAGAATTTCACTTAATTTCTAACCAACTTATTGTGCTTTTATTTCAGAGATCTGGCAGTGCCCTTCGTTCTTGCCAGATGTCAAGCTCTAAGTTTACAGTAGGAGTTATGTTTTAGTCCTCGCCTGCATCAGTCTGAAGTAAAACAAGTCAGATGATTTAGTATAAAGTTTTTAAGAATATCTAAAGATGCTCAACTTTCTGTCATATACAAATTTCATTCCATCATACTTGTGCATATACATCACTGAAGATACAATGCAAGAATAGTCCCAAGGCTGGTGAGAAACGTAATTGGTACTTGCTTTTCAACAACTAGCAGTCAATCTTTAGATGTTATTCAATCACCTTCCTCTAAATTAATTTCTGATTCGCCTGCACTTTTTGTACTAATCTCTAGCTTTACCATTTTAAACAAAAATCTCCCATATAGGCTTTTATCCAAAACTTTTTAAAAAACACTATACATGCAAATTATTGCCTAAGCTTGCACTAAAATATTAGTCTAAAGAACAGAGGCTAAACTAATCTGGCACAGTAATTTTTTGATAGATAAATTCTATCCAATATTATTATTATACATATATTATTTTATCTATTATTTAATCTGGCCTGAGAATTTTTTTTTAATTTTTCCATAACTTTACCTGCTACTCCTTTCAAAACTGGTTTAAAATCTGTATTATTCAGGTGAGACTGGCATGCAGTTTATTTAAATACAGGTGAAATATAGGCTACTTTCTAGCTATGTAGCATTTTCTCCATAGTTCCCTACATTTAACTTGCGATTACATGCTTCTATATTACACAGTAATTAACCTCATAGACGCATGGACATTATTAAACGTTAGATCAACTTTTTCATGTAAATACTTGAGGCAAAGTACCCGTAATTTGGCAGTAATATTACCTTGTCACAATGCCAGTGTCCATCTCTCAGAATTTTCCTCAGACATTTCTACTGTCTAATGTTATTATGAACAAATTTTCTTATAGCCTTACCTTAGGACCTTCAGGGCCATTTAATCCAGGTGCACCAATATCCCCTGGAAAACCCTAAAGAAATCATACAGACAAATTATTTACAGAGTAGGAGTGTTTCCAATGTACTTGTTTTGATTCCATTTTTCATTGAACAATCCCAAATCACAGAAACAAGAAATAGATTTGTTCTACCATCCCCAAAATGTCAAAATCCATTATGGTTCCTTGAAAGGACTTGGAAAAGCCACAGATTTTAGGCAGCTTTCATTAAACTTAATTGTAGCAGATGTCAGCATGGGTTTAGTTTCTCTTAGCTTAAAAGCTTTATCCACTAGACAGTGTTTGAAATGAAACCATTAGATTGGTCTTGGTACACAAAAAGCTCCCACAAAGCAGTCAGCAGCACGCCCTGTGCTCATGAATTCAACTACTTTTTAAAAAAACCTTAGAGTGCCCTTTAATCCTTGGCTGCAGTTTAAGGACAAGGTCACTGCAAGATTAAGAAAAGGGTAGGAAGCCTTTTGCCTCCAAATCAGCAGGTGCTAATCAAGATCTGGCTGGCATTAACTGAAGGCCACCAATATGCAGCATTATTCAGAACACGCCTTTGTGAAAGTCTGTGATATAGGTCCAGCTGTTGGTAAAGAAAAAAATGAATACCCAAAGGAAATCACCTAATGCTAGTAAAAACATATTTCCTTCTCCCTTAAAGGAAAGTCATTGGAGATTAAAAAATTATAAACATCACTCTTTGCATGCATACTTTTCCAATAAGAGAAATGAAAGCGTCACACACATTCAGAACAATTTAAAGAACATCTCAAAGAACTTCCACAGCATGAAATTCTCATTGGCATCCTTCCATACTAATGCAGGCTAAGGCATGGCATCATTAATGTTTCAAGAATCATTTTTCAGATTGTCTAAGCAAGAAAGAGGCATTAAAATAAATAAATAAATGGTTCATTAGGTGGATAGCAGTTAACCATACTGTATTATTCTAGAACAGCTGAGCTTCAAATAGAGTAATAACCATTTCTAGTGATTATTCATAATTACCTGACACTAGTCACACACACACACACACAACTTTACAGAAAGGTAAAGAGAAATCATACAAAACCAAGGAGTTTGAAAGTAAATATTATTTCACCCTCAGTTACCACATTATAATAAAATTTAAAAAGTATTTAGGGCATTACTGTTCTTACTTGTAGGGCTTTCTTCTGTTTGCTTTCTATGACCCATTCTTAACAGGAGAGACTTATAAGCAGACAGACTTATAAGCAGAAATTTAGATGGGAGGCAAATATTTTTAGCTGTATTTATATATGAAATAAAAAAAATCAATGTATATAAGAAAATGTGAAACAATTTAGGTTTCTTATTTTTAAAAATTGGTTTTAGCACTTGAATGCTAAAAGTGCTAAAGCAAACTACTAAAGAGTTAAAAAGAACCAATCAGAGTTTTCAGAATAAGTGAAAAAACCGTAACACAACAGCACTTCACAGAACATCACAGCGGTGATTTCTTTTTGCCAAACAGTAATTAGCAGTCGAGCTGTGCAACAACTCCATCACGCCTCTAGGTGGCACATAGCATATGATTCACCAAGGCTCCCAGACTGATACCAAAGTCCTCGCGTGTACTAGCCCAGATTTCTATTCAGTTCCACAAGAGGATTTTTCAAATCTGCTGTAGTACACTGAAGAGTTTGCAAGTTCAAAAGTATTCATATAACTCATGCTTTCTTAATTTTAAATTACAGAATCACAGAATAGTTGAGGCTGGAAAAGACCTCTGAGATCATCAAGTCCAGCCTATGACCCAACACCACCACACCGCCAGACCAGGGCACTAAGTGCCACATCCAGTCTTAAACCCCTCCAGGGATGGTGACTCCACCCTTCCCTGGGCAGAGCATCCCAGTGCCTGAGCACCCTCTCCAGGAGGACGGGCTGCCGGAGACCCAACCCCAACCTCCCCTGACGCAGTTTCAGGCCCTCTTGTCCTGTCACTGTTTGCTCGGGGGAAGAGCCC